GGGGGGGGGGGGGGGGGCCTCCCGCCCTGAGCCCTGGAACATATATATGAGTTGTATGTTGTGATCTCTAAGGAAGGCACTGTTGCTGCTCCTTCCCCTGTTGCGCCGAAAACTTCCTGGTGCAACAGTCCGAGGGAAAAATCGTCCTCAGCTGCCTATCGCAGGAGAAGCCAGTCTCGAGATTCAGCTGCTCCTCTTGTTGCACCAAATAAGGAAGAGAATCATACTACAAAATCTTCAACATCAGCTGCAAATAGACGTGGCCCTTCATCTGGTCCTGCGTATGTTCGCGCTAGGCGTGGTGAGCCTACTATTGAACCACCTCCACGAACGGAAGATCCTTATCAGCATGCACCTAGAGGAGCTAATACCTCCACCACGACATCAGGACAAAATCTCTCAGTAGGACAAAATATTAACCTAAACGACCCTAACACCAATCCAGGAGGAGCCCCTGTAGTCGGTGGAGGGGCAGCTGGCTCTCACTCTCTTCTGCAAACGCCCTTAGCTCCTAGTCGTCCAGCCCTCTCGAGTCCTTCTCGAGGGCGATTTCCGAGTAGTGCGAGACAGCATAGGTCTCTGCTGAGACACGCAGATGCAGTGATCATGGATGACGTGATGTTGCGGGAGAGCTCGTTGCAGCCAGGGGATCCGTCGAGTGCTGTTAGGGCTAGTATTCATCTTGTGTTATCGATAGTAGTTCATGTTGTGTTAGTTTTGGTGCAGTTATGAGCAGTGATCTGCATAGAGCTCTAATAACGTTGGCGTCGTTGCTGGTGTGGGTGGACGCGCGTTGTCTCCTGGGATTCTGCTACCACCGCCAGGGATCCACATAGGACCAAACAGTCTTGAAAATCGAGAGATTACAATGCTCGAACTGCGGTTGAGGGACCTGAGCCAGCAGAAGGTACTATCATCAAGTGGGCACCAGAAGATATCATCTTCATCTTCCGATACATGATAGGCTCAAGATCAAGAAGAAGGGCAGTTCTTTCGATGAGGCATCCTTACCAGCATCGTGTTTTTTTTACCCCTGTCTGTCGCAGAAATGAATCGATCTTCTTTCTTTCCTCCCTCTCAGGTTCGCCTAGTGACCGACCTGTCCGCCGCTCGCGCAGATCTCGCGAGGACACAAAGGGAGCACGAGGAGGTGCGAGCCATTGAGAGTATGGAGGCGAGGATGGCTGTGGAGGCAGCTAGAGCTGAAGCAGCTGGCGCTCGTGAGGAAGTACGACGTCTAGAGGAGGAAACGACGCAATTACGGAGACGCACACGGGAATTAGAGGAGGAACTTGCGAAGACTCGAGTTCAACTGCAAGAAGCGGTGAATCAACAACAAGCGACGATGATGATGGGGTACTTACAACTATCGTCTAACTTGTACTATGCATAGAATATGTGGTGCTTGTATCCATAATAGAATATGATGCCACACTGTGGTACTCCTTCTCGACAGCTTACTAGGGAATCCTTTGCTCATGGATTTTTCAAGATATAGCATTTTATCATGCTTCTACGAAATTCTTTACCTCTATACACCTACGGCAAATTTCTGATCAACCTCATCTTCAGTCGCGCACCCGGTACGGCGCCTGCTGCTATGCCTGCACGCGAACCTATCCAGTATCAACGAGCCGTCCCACAGTATAATTTCGGCCACAACGGCGAGCCGTCTGCGGCACCAGCACCACTACCAGGACACCAGGATGGGAGTCCGCTATTGAACTATCAGAATTCTCTGTATAATCCGAGCGTTCAAAGTCAAATAGGTCTGGGTGGACATCAATACGGAGGGGCACAGCCGCCACCTCAGCAATTGTCTTCTCCAACAGGGCAACACCAGTTGGCTATGCCTCCGATGCTGCAGCAACAGGGTCAGCATAATTTCCAACAACATCAACAGATGAATACTGGAGCTGCAGGTTTGTTCCCGCAGCAAGTGCAAGGGGGCCATCAACAAATGGCCGTGGCAACTCCTCCTAACATGTACAACCAGCACGTGAACCAAAGTCACAATAATTCGATGGGAAATTCTCCTACAGCCGGTCTCAACAACATGCCTGTACATCAACAACATCCTCATTCATCTATGTCCTCTGGTGACCCAACATCTCAACAAGTTGGAGGAATGATGATTCCTCAGCAGCAGCAAGGCATGCCCATGCCCTACAAGAACTTGAACGTCGAAGTGCAGAATCGCAAACTAGCAGAGCGAAATAGCGAATTGCAGGAAAAAGTCCGAAAGTTGGTTCGAATTGTCGAAAACCAAAGGAAACCAGAATGGGACGATGACTGGTGGAAACCGGAGCAAAGGGCGCCGTCAACGACGAGGAGGAAAGTTCTTACGAGGATCCATACTGAATAAATGACACAGTTGTACACTGGAATCTACTGTAGATTTAGAACAGTACTCGCAGACTCGTCATGCTCGTTTTTCTCGGCTCTCTTCTCACGCTTATAGCAGTTATCATAGAGGGGCTTGGGGTTGGATGCAGCAGCTGAGAAGAAGCTGCTTCTATAAATGGGAACGTTTATGATCTACTCAAGAGATCGAAACAAGACTACGTACAAGTTCTAAGACTTCGTCAAAGGGAAATTCGACCACGAGAAACCCTGGCCATGCAGCTGGTGGAACACAATACTCTGCGCGTGGCCGCAGTGTGCCGCCAGCTTCCCCCGGTCGCGGACGAGGCAGTCGGAGTAGGAGCCGCGATGAGGTCCAGCAATATCCTGAATATTACGGCTTCCGGGAATCCATCTTCAGAAGCATCTACTTGGGGCACTCTGTAAGGGAAAAAGAGACCCAGACTGACTCTCAAGATGGATGCCGGGAAGATCTAAGACTATGACCAGCATGGTGGCTACAACAACTATGGGGTGGGGGCACGCAGTATGCTGCAGTAGCGACGACGAGATTTTTTCAACGGGAAGTAAGTAAGTACATCATTTATTATAGCCCTAATGGATTTAGAAGTAGTACAAAAATGTCTAATACTTATGTCATCTTCTACTTGCCCAAAAATTTATCGATAAACTGTCACAACTTGATCAATCAGTGTCATCATAGCGACATCATGGTAATATTTCCTCGTTCTCTTGTTCTAAGTCACTTAGATAGGTAGCGGTCCCTTCTAAGTCACTTACATAGGTAGCGGTCTCTTCTAAGTCACTTAGATAGGTAGCGTTCCCTTCTAAGTCACTTAGATAGGTAGCGTTCTCTTCTAAGTCACTTAGATAGGTAGCGTTCCCTTCTAAGTCACTTAGATAGAAATAGTTGCACACTTCCTAAGAACATAGTCACAAGATCCTCGCAAGAACTGTTCCTGTTCTCCGTTTTTCACAGACACTGTGAGACTCTCAACGTGAAGATATCCTAATCTACTCATTATCCGAACTACGAAAATAAGCCTAATCACAAACATGATACTGAAGATTTAGATGTTTAGAATCAATGTCTTCAGTCAACAAGAAAAAGCTCAAATCTTCAAAGCAAACGAAGTAGTTCGATTTTCCAATACTTATCCTTACTTAGATGTGCTGATTTTCTACGAGCTGGAATCGGTATTCAAGTGAATGTAGTAGTATCTTCTCAAACTATGGCTATGCAAGTAGAAGTTATGATGTGTTAACAAGTAAATGTAGCAGTATGTATCCAAGAAATATACTATGCAAGGAGGTACATGTTAGATGTCGTAAAAGTAAAACTGCTTCAACTACACAATTGTGCATGCACAGGCTTCGTTGCTTTCACCCAACTTGCCTTCTACTTATTGAATTCATTATCTCTTACCGAGCAATAGGAAGCAAAATGAAAATGTATTAATATCTGAGAGTTCCATATACAACAGACATCGAATAAAGGGTTACCACAAAATAGCACTTGAATCAAATTGAAATTAGTCATCAATATCTTCTTCTGCAGAACCAACTACTTAGCTGGCTCCTTAACCATGATCTTCCTACTTAGCCACCTTCGTGATCTGGATTGTTTAGCTTACATCGAAAAACTTGAACTTCATTATTATCTAGCGGGGAGAATTCGTCAGGGAAATCTTAGGCAGATTGCCGAGGAGATTCGCGTCGTCATTATCTATGTCATAAGACCTTACAACAGGAGCAGCTGCTCGCTTATGTAGTTCATCCGCAAGAAAATCTTACTGAAGCAAATATGTCCATCGAATTTCAAAGAAACATTCAAATGTACTTGTCATCCTATAATACCACAAAATCTTCATCAAACCTATGTATTACCCCGTGATCGGTAGACACTCGCAATGCCCTAGCATTTCGTTCTTACCACGGAAAAACGAAAAGACCCCTGTATTTATAGGATCATGCTATAATTCTACTCCAAGTAGACGACTGTATCCATTTCTAGCGTAAAAGTCCGTACCCGAAAAATCCGTACCCGAAAACAGGGCAGCCAACGCAGGTACACACTCTACGACGTGGTCGGCGTAATATTGTTGTTCTCTTAGTAGAGTCCAAAGAGCGCGAAAGTAGGAGGAAGAGACGTGAGCTTTGGCCCGCCAGATGAGTAAATTATGAGCTAAACGCGCGAGTTCAGCAATGACGCAGCCATGATGCAGTGGTGGATCAACGCGGAGTGAGTTGTGGCCATACCAAGTTCTTCTGAGTGAATGGCGATGTCACCTCCTAATACGAGTGATCTTGCATTAGTGAGTCTAGGTACTTACTAGTTATGATTAACTTAAACTTGATCCTCGGAGCCTACGTTGTCTAATTACTATCCTCAGTTCCTACTAGCCTAATTGCTTAGTTCCTAGGTTACTAAGTCTAAGGATCATCGTCCATCCTTGTTCTGAAAAGAAAAATGTGATTCCATGCCTACGTCTAAAAATGTGATGCACAGTCCTCCCTCGTCTGGTCTTCCACGCCTACGTGTGCAACCAAGAAAACAAGAAAGACTCTCTGAAGAAGAAAGACACCCACTACAGCTAGAGGGACATTATTTTGATTGTACTTGTAGCGGACAAGACACGTGAAGCTGAATCTGAACCACAAGCATCAGCATCGTCCCTACGATGTCTTCCGCCGCTGTGGAATTTGAGGAGGTCTGGCAGGATCGCGAGATACGGTTCGACTCCGCACCTCAGATACATAAGCTAAGGAAAGGCGAGTTCCAGATAGACTCGATCAATGCGGTTGAGGATACGATTAAGGCTCGAAATAATTCATTGCCAAGTGTCATTTTATGCTGTAAGTATTCCTCTTGGGATTCTCGAGAAAGGAAGGGAAGAAGCGAATTAACTTTTGAGCTCTAATACGAAAGGGAACAATGGCGAAAGGGGAATGCTTATCGTAACCAACCTGAGAATCTTGTGGACCTCTGCGAAGAGCGCAAGAACAAACTTGAGCATCGGTTTTAGTTGCGTAACGGGCATAAACATCAAGCTTGTGAATAGCAGGCTGAGGGGGAATACGCAGGTACTTTTTATTTGTACAACTTACAATGCTTTTTTACTATGTTGTTCAGATTGGCTTAGGTCCAGCGATGCTTAAAGCACAAAAACAAAAATAAACGGTTAACTTTTCCCTCATATCGTAGCCTAGGATGTGCTAGGTTTATCACATCAAACAATACGTGGTTCCTATTTGTACAACTTACAATGCTTTTCTACTATGAATGTTCCTAAGAAGAACATCAAGACTTCTGCTCAAGTTGTCGTTCGACGCGATGTTGCCAGAACGTTCGATGGTGCAAGTACATCCACTCAGCCTTAATATAACATAATAACTACAGGCCCTTTTCGTGATGACGAGGTATAACAACACGCGCTTCGAGTTCATCTTCACCTCTCTCGTCCGCAATTCGCCACGCCTCTTTACCACAACGCAAGCAGTGTTCAAGGCGTACGATTCTTCGAAGCTGTACCGCGACTTGAAGTTACGAGGTGCGATCATAGCAAATAAGGAACTGTGCGTGTTGCCAAGCGAACAAATCTTCGAGAGGATAAACGGCATATGGAACCTGTCGTCCGATCAGGGGAATTTAGGGACGTTTACGATAACGAACGTATTCTTGTACTACTTCTGGGTATATCATCATCAACTTCTTTTTAGTTTGCAGTTAGTAGCAGTTGTAAGTATCTCACCAGAAACTAACAGTAGCATTCGTCGCTAATAAATATAGCTTGTTCAACATCTTGCGCTCTCACTTTGACGTCGTCATCTCGAAGTCACAGAAAATTAGCTGCCGGGTGTCTTCGTGAAAACTCACCTATCGACATCCATCCCCCGGTCTCGAGAATCACACTCTCAGGTTCGGATCGTCTGGTTCGCCGCTTTAGCAGAAAATTTCAACGTGAGCATACCGTATATGCAAATCAAGTCCATTAACGTCAGGAATTCGAAATTTGGCCAGGCACTAGTTTTGGAAACAACGCCTGGCTCAGGGAGTTATATACTAGGCTTTCGCGCGGACCCTGTAAGTCATCTCGAGGAAATTAGGAAACAGATCACGAAACTGTGGAAGGTACTGCTAGACGTTTTTGATGTACTAGTTGTAGTCGCATGCTGAATGATTGATGTAGATGTTCTTGTCTCTATGTATTGGCAAAAATCGTATGTATGATGATTGGTGTTGGTGACGAAGATGTAAGGAGGTGGCGCTGGTGAAAGAAGGTGCGAGAAGAAAAATGAGAGGAGAAAGAAGAACGTAACACAAGTCTCGAGAAAATGTTGTCTCAGTCTCAGCGTGAACATTTTCTTGATAAGTAAATGGTAGATTGCCATTACTCAGGTAACAAACGAGTGTCATCTCTTCAAGGAAACGGACCTCAATTCAATGAACCTCCAATCAATATGAAATACTTCTCCACCAGATCTTTTCTCAAACGCCTATATCCCACCAGATCTTTTCTCAAACGCCTATATTCCACCAGATCTTTTCTCAATCGCCTATATTCCACCAGATCTTTTCTCAATCGCCTATATTCGGTTTGGATTTTACAGTACAGAAACCCGAAGACGAGGAGGACAACAACACCACTGCTGGGAAAGCCACAGCTGCGCCAGTCCCTGTTCCGCGGAAAGAAGATGATATCGAAGTAGTAGAGTTACGGCTCACCTTGTTGGTGAAGTTGATTTATCAAGAAGAGACTCATCATCTTGAGAAGATGTTGATTCATCTTGGATTTGTGTCAACACTTTCACTTTCCAATTAGCCGCGTCAACACTACATGATGCCGAATATGCATTTCTCAAGATGAATTCATTTTTCAGGCAACAAGGTCCTCTAATGAAAACGGAAGAGGTCGAAGCCTCTATGCTGTATCATGCTGACGGGGACCGAGAGTATATCAATCAAGAGCCGGTTTTTAACCCCGAAATAGGCCTGGCGATGGAGAAACTCAAAGATGGTGTCACACTGGAAAAACTGTGGAGCGTTTTGTAGTCTTCTAGGATTTCTTTGGTCGTTTTTCGCTTAGTATTTAGTCTACGATTTCGCTTAGTATTTCGATTTCCCGTACTATCAATCCGAATCTGTTTAGCAAATCAATCAATCTCAAATCAATAGCGATGTCTTTTCAACATCATAAATCCATCTACCTGAACCTAAGAAAGAATTTAGTAGTTTTTTTCAAGACAATTTTGCACTCTGGAGGTCTTGACATCAATACAGAGTCTGGGTACAGAAAATGTGAGGTATTCGAAGCGTCAAAGAAAGTATGCCACAGGTAGTACCCGCCTCACTTTTCTTTTCGTGGCCGTAAACAAAGTGTGGGCCATAAATGGAGAAAGCTCTGTACTCACTGATCTTCAGGTATCTACCCAACCAATTTCGTGGGGCTCGCTCAAAAGTATGGTTCATCTTTTAGAGCCCAGCTTCTTCTAATCTTTATAGCCTCTAATCTTTCTAGCCTCTAAAAGATAGTAAAAATGTCCACCGCGTCCTCGAGTTGTCGTATGATGCCCAGCAGGACGTGTTGTCCGAGCACGTCGAGTACTTCTCCATTTATCTCACGAGGGGGTTCGTCAGCTTTCTTGTCGAGGAGACAAACGAACGACAGCCAATGTGGCATAGCTCGTGGGAGGACGACGCCAGTTGAGGGACAGAGTTAGGGCCCATAAGGACACTACTTAGATAAAGCATCTGTCAGTACAACCACCTATGATTTAACAGGAGGTTAGAGTTTCTTTGCAGACAGAACATGCTTTCTGCGCAGTCGCAGACTACCATCTGCGGGGCTTGTGAAGTTAAACAACCTACAATCTAAGCCAATCATCATCATTTATTATTCCTTGATCATCGCAGGAGCGGTTGTAATGGCTTGATGCGTCAATATTAGTCAGTACTCATACATAGAGGGGAACAGCTTTCAATACTATTCCATCTAAGTCAATCATCCTCCTTATTCCTTGATTCTCTCTACTTCCTACGACTGCCTCCATTCCTTGATCATTCTCTCGACAACGACTGCTCTAACTCCCGCGTTTCTTTGGCAAAATGCGTAGTGTCAGACGCGTGCTCTATCCATGGCAGCAAGAACTGCAGCGAGACGCGTGGGCATTTATGCATCAGGAGATGATCGCACATTTCCGCAGTCCAGAACGAGAGGACCCGACCAGGTCTCTAGTACGCCTAAACGCAAGACTGTGGCCGAAATTCTGCAGTAAAGAGATGATTCTGTTACGAGATGAGCCTTGTCGTGTAGTCACGCGTGACGACGTTTTGTAGAAGCAAGAAGTGCCTGATGTCGTGAGATGAAAGAAGCACTAGACAACTGATAGGTCATTCTATCCGCGCATAAGCACGAGGGACGATTTTTGTATTCGACCGATGATTTTTGATGTGGTCGTCCTCGTCGAAGCAAGATGGTAAGTTTCAAAGCACATATAAATAAACAGCCGGCTTGTTTTCCTCTTTCTACTTTTAGGTTAAATCCCTTCTTGCAATCTTCAATTGCACTCCTGCTGGATCGTTGTTAATAGAGAAGATGTCTGTGTCCCTCCTTCATGAGTCGAAGAAAAGGACAGACTTCCAGGCCTCATTACGCGACATGGACCAGATCGGGGTATTGTCTTACGAGTGCCAGATATTATTTACGGCGAGTTTTGACTTCCTTGAGATTGAGATATGTCAGGGAAATCTACTTATAACAGAAGTGTAACAGCAACAACAAGTACTTCAGAAATATAGAGCTAGGAGCTAGCATAGACGGGGGCACAGGTGGTCACGACCCCATGGGAGGTAGTAGATTCGCATCTTCGTCATCGTGTCAGAATCTTTCAAGACCCCACCACAACTTCGCTCTACTTCCAGCAACGTAAAAATACAAAGTGACTTTATACATCATACTGCGCTATTTAAGTTCTGCCCCATGCGTTTAATCATGAAGAATTTGTTTTTCTCTAAGTCCCGCCCCATGCCTTCGATGAAGAAGGAGGTCACCTCAGTCACGCTTTCAAGGGAAAGCTTTTCCGCATTCACATAGAGGACACAGGCTTCGACGAACTGTGCTACATATCCGACGTAAGGGCTCACACGGTGGATAAAAAGCTATATTTCTTTAAGGCTCGATATTATTTACTTACAAGTGTTCATTTGTTTGTTTCGATTTCCGAGGTTTATATTCGTTTTCTTCTGTAGTTTCCTTCCTCCTACTCCTAGGATTGTGTTGAAGGTGGAATGTCTTCAGGGAAGAAACCTTCGTAGGATTCTGAAGAAATGAATGGGAGATGAAGTGAAATCTTTGCCCTCTTCTAATTACTTAAGGTTCGACCGACACGTGCCCTACAAACAGATGAGCACTGTTGTTAAGGCTCAATACAATTCTTCATTTCTACGCCTCAATCATTTTTCTCTGTTTTAGGCGTCAAAAGATACCTCCAGAACAGGTAAATGAATGAATGAGTGAATTTCTTCTTGAGATTCGGAGAAAATGTTGCGACCAAGAATTCGGAGACCAAGAAATGAACCTCTTCTAGTATTGCTCTAATGTGGATATCCCTGTGTCGCTCCTCGGGGTGTACGGATGTCCGGGTCAGTTGAAAGGATCCCACGTCGAACTGGCAATGCCTACGGTAAAATGTGAAATCGTGGTTAAGATGAAACTTTATTAGAATGAAGTATACATCACCTACAATCTTGAAGTAATATCCACCTCTCATCTTTATTAGAATGAAGTAAACATCACCTACAATCTAGTCCTCTCATCTTTATTAGAAAGAAAAGTTTTATATTTATTCTCATTCTCTTTCTCAGGCACTTATCTCACGCTTACACGTTATTAGAAAGAAGTATCACAGATGCCTCAGAGGATGAGGCTGAGGAATCTAACACAAGAAAGGGTTACGAAATACGACTTCCTACTGCTCCTTTTGCAATAGCTCACTACTTGACTTTGTACTTGTAATAAATACATCGGGCCTTTCTGCTATTCTGTAAATGTATTCATAACCTAGGTCGTCTATTCCTCCAATCAACGACCACTACTATCATGTAAGTGTATTCATCTCCGCTCGGTTTGCTTGCTCTTCTTAGAAGGTACAGGCAGACTGAAATAGCCTCTCTTTCAATAAGTTACTTTGAAGCACGAGGCACCATGACATGACATGACATTAATTATTCCTGTATTTATCCTAGGTCGCTTATTCCTCCTGTAAATTCTAACCTCCTCATCACTTGAACCAATGGATGTAAATTCTAACACCCGCGAAGAATTTCCGAGTCCATTTTTGGTGGATTGCTCTAGACTGAGCAACCGGATGGACGGCATGGACTTACACTATGGGCGAATCACCTTAGCCGACATCGAACACCTTTTGGAGCCATACAAAGGCCTAGTGCGGTTTTCACGACAGTATACCAACTTTTATGGATGCGAGCCATGTTGAATTATAATTAGCTTTCTTGTGTTGATTTGTGATAAAGAGTAAGTCTAGTTAGTTAGAAGATTATTATTATTTGTTGTTTTCCTGTGTGGACCAGATCGAGATAAATTTCTAACCCTCAGAGGAGACAGAAGTCGTTATGTGTTATGATGTAACCGACGTCCCGGAACAGCCTCTGCCTGCGGACTGGAAAGACCCAAATTTTGACAACAGACAAGGGCGTTATCATCTCACTTATAGTGGGTTCTGGCCGAAGCAAGTACAGAGAGGATGAATGCATACGATGTTGTTGAGAGGTGAGTCCATACCTAGGTATATTAAATCGATACCATGTAGGTGTATCCCGGAGAAGGGACATTAAAGCAATGAATATGAATACCGTGCTTATCGTGCTCCTGACCTCTTTATTTGAATACAAATTCGAGTTGCTCCTGACCTCTTTATTCGAATACTACAAAAGAGCGCTTGCGCTTCATCTTCATTGTTCTACCTCCCCGCCCGTAGTAAAGACGATGCAAGAGTCGTTGTGTTCCTAATTACGTTCACGATCGGATCGATTTCACATGTTGTACAACATGGACAGTGAAATCTTATTCCACCTTCTAGAATTCGTTCAATTCTACGGCTCGTCGTCCCTCCTGTGTGGTGACTCTCCGTCTGTGTCTAAATCTATCTCTTTGTCTGGGGCTCGGTCGCTCGGTCTCTTACACAGAAAATCGGTACGTATTTCATTCTTCATCGGGGCGCGCTTTAGTCAATCAGGAACCTTCGTTCACGTCCCATCACCCTCTCTCCTTCCCCCTCATTGTCTCTGACTATCTCTCCTTCTTTCTTCCTAGACTTGGGCGCCTGGTAGCACTGCGCCCAATAGAGTCCTCCACTCCCTACACGCACTGCCTCTGTCCCGGCGTGCTTCCGCTTCCCCGGCTTCTTCCCCGCCCGACAACCGTCTGGCGGAGTTGATCGGTGGGAGAGGAGTCGGGGCGGGGGCGGCGTGCTGGCATTAAAAAATGACACAGCTCGAAATAATTGGTCGGCAAATTTACACTTCTTTTGTTAAGTTTGGGCTTTTTGAGCGAATTGAAAGCTTCTAATTTGAAACTTTTAAAATTCATTTTTTTTTGATAAAGTCAAAAATTTCGGATTTGAAATTTTTGAAAAAATATTTTTCTTCGATAAAATCAATTTGAATGATTCAAAAACTTAAGATTTGAAATTCAGAATTTAATACTTTAAAAATTCGACGCTGCAGACTGGTGTGATTGGAGGCAAAACATGCGCCGTCGGTGACATTCGGGGGCATGATAATCTTTGACTCCGTATTTGCCACGAAATGTTTTAAAAGTCGACTCTCATTGATAAAATCAAAAATTTTGGATTCACGTGTCTAAAAATTCTTTACCCTCATCTTCTGGTGATTTTCCCTGACACGTAGATGACATAGAGAAGTTGTCATTTCTGATTTCAATTCGAAATAAACCCTACTTCATAGAAATCAAGTCTACCTGTGCTTAGCACCAAGAATATCAAAAAAAGAGAAGTGAAGGTCTTCTATTTCTAGAACTACTTTTACAAACTTCTTCTAGTACTAAGAAGTATGGATGAGTTGCACTTGTATGAACGAAGTTTATGTTACTACTAGGAGACGACGACGACCTTGATGTGACGGCGACGCCGAGGCACCCTGCAATTCCATCCTCTTGCACCCTACATTTTTTTCGAAAAAAAATGAAGTTCTACTTGACTAAGAGGGTGGTGTGCGGCTTCACTCTTCTCATCTGGGCCTTCTCCGAGCTAGATCTAGTGGACGGCAGACGCAAATACAACTTTCGTGGCAGTGCGAAAAAGGTTCTTTTGCTTCTGGTTTTTCTTCCTATTCTTATATAAAGAAGATCGGTCATTTCGTCCTTTAAAGTGCATTTTGTCCTTTAAAATACTGATTTGTTTTCAAAAAATACTGATCACAGGGACAGGAAGAGGAAACGCCTGGAGGTTCTTCCTCTTCGTGTGGCGGAGGCGATAAGATTAAGTAGAGCGCAACAGATAGTTAGAGTCTAACATTTCCTTTCGCGCACGAGGCCATGTATGTTGTTTCTAGACCTGAAGATGATAGATTCTTGAGCGATAAGATTGAGAATGAGGCTTAAAATGAATATAATGTCCTTCCACAAGGATAAGGAAGAGATCTTCAAAAAAACGATATCATTACCTGTGAGCTGACCGTGTCGTAAAGCGTTTTAATACTACACGCGTTTATTTAGTGTTTTAGGTTAAGTTACCTCAAGTACTAGAGCATGCTGATACTACACTCGTTTAGTGCTACGCTTTGTAATTGTTTCACTCGTTTCTTTCTTCTAGTTAGGTCTCTACCAGAGCAATAAGTCGGGGTTCTTGGAAGGGCCGCTCTGCCTCTAATACAGAACAAGGCGCCGTCGATGCAAAGACTAGCACGAAGAAGAAATCGACTAGCACGAAGAAAAAGTCGAAGAAGAAACCGACTCGCACGAAGAAAAAGAAATCTTGGTTTTCTAGTAAAGGTAATGACGACCACGACGATGAAACTGATGCTGAACCGTCAGATGAAGACGGCGATAAATCTACGAAGAAGAAAGGCGTGATAAGCAGGGTTGCCAGTTCTACCTGGAATGGGGTAAAGTACGTTGCCAGCTCTCCAGTGAGAGGCATTCGCTATTATGGCTACCACCTCCCCTAGTTCTTGTAAAAATGGTCTGATTTATATTTAGTAGAGACAAGCGAGATGAGTCATGAATGGTAGACCCAGGTAACAAAAGAATACATCATGGCTGCTTGTTTAACGCTCTAGAAGGTTTTCACAACGATTGGCCTGGATGATAGTGGAGGCAGTGGGCACCTACATGAGTTCTGCTCGAGTAGAAGTAGCTCCCTGCACTTTTGCTTACCTGAAGGTTTGTCGAGCGCTGCCAGTATCATAGAAATACTGCCAGACCACGTCTCTACGGTCATCATGAACGATGGCAACAGGGACAAAAGCATGCATCTCATAACGATTGCCGTCGTGCTTAATCGTTTGCGTCGTTTTAGTTGCCTGGCCGTCGTGCTTCAGGCTTCCCGCTGGGCAATCAAATGTTCGAAGCGCGGGAAATTGTAGACACAGGCAACAAAAAAAACATGATGAATGAATGAACTACATAGAATCTGCCGAGCAATGGATTCGTGTTATCACAACTACATACAATGATAAGTAACTCATAGCATTCAATAGTAAAAATACGACCCGCGAGAAGATGATGCCTCACTTCCAAATTCCACTTCTAACCTGCCTTGGGCGGAAAATTAAGTGGCACGAACAAGAAAGGCTTAAGGCTCGTCTTGAAAATTTTTGATTTCCCGATGTATGAAGGTAGAGATGATTCTATCTTCTAAATAAAACAACCGGTTAGTTTTCCCTCTGACTTTAGGTGTATCCATTCAGGCAAGAGATACGCGTCTTCCTTTGACTAGTCCTAAAAATTCATCTCGAGAAGTGTCTGTGAAGACTTTTTGCTAAAGAACACTGTTTCTCTACTTGGGAGAAAACTACACTGATCGTTTCTCTAGTACTTCTTGGGAGAAAACTACACTGATCGTTTCTCTAGTACTTCTTGGGAGAAAACTACACTGATCGTTTCTCTAGTACTTCTTGGGAGAAAACTACACTGATCGTTTCTCTAGTACTTCTTGGGAGAAAACTACACTGATCGCTTCTCTAGTACTTCTTGGGAGAAAACTACACTGATCAGTCAAATATGATAACTCGCAAGATGAATTATGAAGCAAGCACGCTCACACACTCTAATTCTAAAACGAAAGGGGAAAAAAAGGACTGCAGACTCGGACGAGGAGTCGGACTAGTTTCGAGGATCCAGTATTCAGTATTACAGTATTCATACGACGAGAACATTCAGAATGTAAAACATCAGAAACAGAATGTATATCTTCTAAAAAAATGTACCCAAAGAAATCCAAGATTGATTGATCATATGGAGATTACTCATAGTTGGCGCAACCTCTCACTCACTCGTGTCTATTCCCACCCTCTTGTTGCGATTATGATTGGTATTTTAATTATCATTCTCGTTACTTATCGTTATCGTTTATTGTGGACATCATGAAGAATTGTGAAAACTGGAGCAAATCCAAGCACTATCTTAAATTCTATCATCTCCTATCTTTCTACACAGTGACTTGGTCTTCGACTTGTATAAATTAGACATGAGAATAAAAATCATCATGTTGTCTAAAAAATTTGTATTCACAACCTCCTATAATCTCTTAACACGATCCGCGTAGAGTGGGCAATAGCAACCCGTCCTATCCTATCCTATCTCCTTCTATCTTTCAACATGTAAAAAAAGTAAAAGTCCTCTCGAATATATTACAAGCAACCTCCCGGACTAGCACTTCTAGCTACGTAGCAGGCCTTCCGGAAAGTCACACATTGTCAAAAAAAATCCACTTGGAAATGACTATAGTACTATTGTTGCAGTTCTTCACGTTGTCACCTCAAGTAGTGCTTGCTGTCACTATAGTACAATGCGACTGTTCATTCTTATTGTTCAGCTGAGAAATGTGAGCTTGGAGAGATCCACTGCTGTAGAGACGACAAATCTTCTGTGGAGACACGAGTAAGGAGTGTGAGCAGAGACATCTTCTGTAGCTGCCGAAGTATGAGCAGAGACATCTTCTGTACTAGCTGCTAACTCGAGAGTGTTGAGATTGTAGATGGGAATTCTCAGCCTGCGAAGCACTGCATTAAGAATCCACTTAATATGGTGATCTATCTGTGGAGAGGATGAGTGTGACATCTGTTGCCGTTTGAGTTGAAGAAGTAGAAAAGAGTTCTGAGTTGAGATGTAAATGGATATCTGTTGCGCACTGAGATGAGAGTACAGACTCTGTCCTGAGAGGACCACAATGCTGGATTTCTGACGTGGACGATGAATTCCAATCGTATAAGTTGTTGTGTGCTATTAAACAGTCATAAGATTAAGAACTCAAATTACCTTGTTTGTCTCATTCTAACGATTATTATTGATGATTTTTACCTCATTGTCCTCTACCTCTTTGTCCACCAATCAAACTACAATCAATCCACCAACCAAACTGCAGGAATTTTCTACTTGTGAAAACCTCTTAACTTCGTTCTCTCGATTTTCTTCCACCTTGCACCCACATAAAACTTTGCGAATTCATAGAAATTCTTTCTACAATTCATCTTTGTTGAGTTTGTCCAGTGTGAGATTCTATCTCGTCATAGCCATCTGCTCCTGCTAGGTTCATCTTCTACATCCAGTTAGTACGTACACGTAAGCCAAGAAACCTAGTTTATCCTCTGACATCGTCTTGTCTATCTCCTCGTTACAAATAAACAAAGTAACAAGAAAGACCTCCATCTACAGGTTTATCTTCTTGTAGTTAGTACGTAGTACAAACGGACGAGAAACCCAAGATGTTGGCAAAAGTGATGCACGTGAGCCATATCCTTATGGCAACAACTGCTATTGCTGGAGGCCGAACGCGGGAGATGACAGTCACTGCGGATGGCGACGTTACAGAACTAGTTGATGAAGTTTCTGCTGGTGGCGAGCGTGGTGAACAAGTTCTTGTACCTGGAGGTCAAGACATTCTCAACTTCGAGCAAGAAGAGCAACATTTCCAAGCACAACTGGCCTCTTCCAAGTCCAAGAGCAATGGTTCCTATCAACGAGAAGTTGGACATCAGGCTGGTGGAGTTGCGCATCAAGCTGGTACCAAGGAGAACTCCAAGAACATTCCAGTGGGATCTTTCATCCAAAAGGGATCGACTCAGAGGCCTACTGTGCGAGGAACTGTTGAGGCATGGGAGGTCGATGCTAGTGGGGCCGTTGCGCCTGAGGGGGATCTCAGCCTCAGGTATGGACTCTAAAGTGGCGGCGAGAACAAGAAGATCAAAGCCTAAGCCTTCGGAATAAAAAGGGAACGAAAAATTAACGATGAATAATCAATGTAAGTATTCAACAATTGAAGAACAACTTAATGATGTACTAGCTCACCATCCTAGGTGGCCTAGTACCCCTGGAAATTACTTTCAAATTAATGATATAATTTAATTAGCGACCACGATTCAATTTCGGCAAGCTGAGGAGAACAACTGTGACAACTATCTGTTATGATGTCAACGCACCGACATTATACCATGTACTTGATCTGCATTAGACTTAATAAGAATAGTAGATGTTCCTCTTCCTTCCTGTGCAACTTCATTCGTTGAACATTAGTTGCCAAAGCAATGCTGTGATAGTGATCGATTCCAGCGTGTACCTGAATTCTACTAACATAGTACTATGATTAAGACTATAATAGATAATCACACGTACTACAGGTAGTTGCTTGCTGATAGAAATTAGCTTGTTGTGGAGATTTGTCTTGCATCAGATGTGCAGATAATTAAAGACGATCAGTCACTAGTAGTGAATCCTATTCAACAGAGAATTATTTTCTTATCTTGGTTAAAACTAACAACAACAACATTTAAGTATGTTGCGCAGATCTTTATTGTCTTATCAAATGCATAAATGAGTACGTAAATTGTTGTATGCGTACAAGAGGGGGGCAACCAAAACCAATTAGCATACACAAAAGCGGAGACCGATAATTTTCCATACTAAAAATTTCAAAAACAAAATGACACTGAAATCAAAGATGAAAACACGTGGAACTCGAAGACGTGGTGTTCTTGGGCGTCGTTTGCCGTTTCCAAGGTGGGGGATGAGGGTAAGAAAGATGCTGGTTTCGGGTGCAATGAGAGAACATCTTCACTTGAGGTACCTTCTAGTACGGGCGATGCTGCGAACACACTGAAAAGCATAGTTGCTAGTGAACCACCTGGTAGAGGAACACCCAACCTAACCTAAGAGAGGAGAAACAACCAAAGATGGCTCCTCGACATTACTCAACGACGCAATTAAGAGCATATCTCAATCTCAATCAGTAGCAGAGTCACTCGTCAGCACTAATATAATATAAATCTAATATGTATACCCCCTATAATACACGAGCAGCAAGCACGACCATGGGTCCTCGAGTACTACTATTCAACATCTTGAGCGGCATCGCATCATTCAGCAATCGAAATTCGAAATTATGGAGACCGAATTCAGTCGTACTAGCTACCTCGATTGAATCGCTAAGCAGCGACGATGCAATCGTCTCGTCACGTACGTGGAGAACGGGAAATTTACCACTCAATGACAAATGGGTTCTTACGCGCAGATCGCCACGTGCTGTAAAGGGGGCTACTACCACTAGATTACGAACAAACTCGTCAGTAGATGGAGGAGATGAACATCAAGAAGTTCTTGTTCTAGGAGATGAACGACAAGCAGAAGAGCACCTTAGGGATCAAGCAGAAAGGCGTGGTAGAAGGTCTACTTCTCCTGTGGAAGTGGAGGTCCTCCATGATCTGCGTATGATTCCTGACATCCACCTGCCCAGCGATGTGGTGGCTGAAGTTGCCCATGCAAGGAACCCTTCGAAGTCACCATTTTTCGAGACTGACTGGCTAAACAAGAAATTGGTAAAGGAGGTCTACGGAGATGCTGATGACAGTACGGGAGCTCCTGTTGTGTGGGCGTATAGGCGGGATTTTTAAGGCTTGGTGGAAGTGCCACTAGTGCATCAAAAACTAACAGTAGCATCTCGACCTTTCTTTTTCAAGTTCACATAGTCCTGCATCTCGACTGATATTCTTAGGTGCAGCCGTTGACTTTATCGGAGGTGATTCGTTGTATTCTTGAGATGGTGAAAAATTAATAACGATACTAACTGCGAGGTCGAGGTGCCTCTCCAAACTTGACTACTCTAACTGGTGCGCGATAATCTCCACGTCCTGAAGAAGTCAGATATTGCCACAAAGTTTTTGCTCGTTCTGGAAAGCGTGAAGATGCGAGCTGATGTTTTCCTGAATGGTCAGCTACTCGGAACCACAGAGAACCAGTTTCTTCGGTATGTTTTCGGACCTATCAGCACAGGCAGTACAACTAGCGAAGATGCGGCTCTGGACGAAAGAACGAAAACAACTAGAGGAGACGAGAGAACGAAGACAACTGGTCAGCCTCAGAAGTACTACAATTCTGAAGATCATGGTCTGTTGGAGATACGTTTTTCTATCTCAACGCTAGGCGATGTCGGTGGCCGCTTTGTGGCATGTAGTGGGGGCTGGGATTGGGCGCCCTATTCGCAACGATTCACCACCCAAGCAGGTGACTCGCGCACTACACCCTGTGCTACGATGGAATCGAGCAAAAAAGCCCGTGCTCACTCAGCCATGTTGGGTTTTGGCTTAGCAAAAAGCGTGTATCTCGTACCACTGGAAGATCATGTTAGTGTGGAAGGTAGTACCGCAGATCGAGGAGTTGGAGGAACTGGAGCGATCGGAACTAGTACTCCGGGGGGAACTTCCGCTCAAGAAAGCCAAGTCTTGTCAAGGAAGCCAAGTCTTGTCCTCCAGGATGTCGCCATTTTATCCGTTACGCCTATGACGTTTTTAGTAGATGACGCATTTGAAGAGGCCGACGAGAAAGAGCAAGAAGTACATGATCCAGCACGACTCTCAGATGCATCGAATCACTTTAGACTTGTGGTGGATACACGGGTACGGCTATGGAGGACCACTAACAAACATTTACAAAATGAACAAGATTTGGAGCAGCTGCTCGGAGGCTCCATTTTTCTTGAAGTGACCTTGCGCATGAAAAAGATGAACGGAGGTCCGGGAAATGGTGAAAATGTGTTGAAAGAAGTTGTACTCATTAACGATGAAAAGGACCTGGAGCAGAGAAACCACGAAGATGGCGAAGACCCAGAAGATGCTCCTTCAAGTATCAAAAAGGTCACAAAGCGCATTGCTCTACAAGATTGCGCCTTTGATGAGGTAGAAATTGGAAGTACAACAACGCTAACTACATCTGGTGCGATAGAAAAAACAGCTTCTTGTCGCATCGCTATGGACGTCTGGAACGTACCACTGTGGTGGCCGCGCGCCTTGTGGAACGACAGTAGAAATGGCAAGCCGACTCTGCATGATTTGGAAGTCAGCATTGTGTCTTCCCCCACAGTGCTAGTTTCCTTAACACGAACTGTGGGTTTCCGACATTTTGCTTTGGTTACTGGAGAAAGCATGAGCTTTGCCTCCGGTCATAAAGATCTTGGAAAGGATCCGACAGTAGTCGGTAGAAACAGCGAGGAAGGTAGTGGAGACTTGGGTATGCGGTTCGAAGTGAACGGGTATCCCATGATGGCTCTAGGTGCAAATATCGTCCCATTCGAGATTCTACCTTCTAGTACTTCAAAAATCCAGACTGGAGGTGGACCTTCTAGTACTTCAGAAATGCAGTCTTCAATGCACAAAGGATATACAGGAATTAATGCATTCTTCAAGAACTCGAAGTTTGCGCAAACCCAGAGAGAGATTACTCATTTGCTAGAGGCTACAGCGGCTGGAGGGATGAATACTATTCGGGTTTGGGGTGGCGGCAATTACCAACCACAGTGGTTCTATGAGGAAGCGGATCGCTTGGGTTTACTGCTTTTCCACGATCTCATGTTCGTAGATCAAGATAATCATTGTCCGCCTGTGCAACCTGTCGTGGTTGGTGAGCAACAGCCTGACCAACAAGAGAGTACTAACAATATTAAAGGATCTTCATTGTTTGCTTTTGCAGCCAACCAAGAGAAACACGTCGTCCGGAGCGAAATCCAGTATCAAGTAAGGCGCTTGGCGAGGCACCCATCAGTGGTCGTATGGAATGCGTGTAATGAATGCCTTTACGACAATGGCAGCGAAACCAGTACAACGAACGGCCAAACCAATACTAAAGGACACGAACAAATCCGTAAATACATCGATTTCGCAATGACTACTGTGGCTCAGACAGACCCGTCACGTGCGATATGGCCGACTAGTCCTTCTAAGGGGGGATGGGCGTCTGGAGTGGATCGGGCTACGTCCAGGCCTATAGTTCTGGATTTCGAGGCCTTTGCTAGAGTGGATGGAGGATTGCCATTGCAGGGACCGACTATCCAGGTGAAGACGTTGAAGGTGAAGACTAGTAGCCCCGCTATGTTGCTTGGGAAACAAATGATTCCGAAAATTTTCGAAGAACACACAGATCAAGGAGCTACAACAGTCAAGAGCCAAGAGTCTGAGCGTGAAGATGAACAACAAGTTGAAGCTCCTCCTGAACAGCAAGTTGTAGAGGGAACAACTACTCGCAGTCAACAGAGCCTCAACAAGAGAGAGCTGCCTTTGCCTTTGGAGCTTCATGGTCCTTATCTACACGGTTCTGGTTTCGATAGTATAAATGCAGAAAGCGCTAATCTTGTTGCGTTTAATCCGGAGTTGCCAACAAGGATTCCTCATAGGAGAAAGCTACAAGGAGTTCTTCAGGATTATCGGACAAATAGACTACTAGAAGAAGTACAACAAGACCAAAAGAACTACAGGGAACATCAGCATCAACAAGGTCAACATTCATCATCAAGCATCAAAAATCCTTGGAACTCAAAAAGTACTTTCGTGTCGGAGTTTGGCGCAGTTACAATGAGTAGCTTCGAGAGCTTGCGAGATTTGTTGAAGCCTGAGCATTGGTCTCTTACTGGTGGCAGTGGAAACAAGGAGTCAGCACCTAAAACGGTCTGCGACACTTCCGATCGCAACAGACCTTTCTGCACAGGCGATAACCCAATGGCGCAACGAAACTATCCATGTCAGAGTTTTCTGGATGTCTATTTTCTTGGTACCAGCGCTAACAACGAGAACGACGTGAAGAACAACTACAAGAACGACCTAAAATTCACATTCCAACGCGACCTGTACTCCTGTATGCTAGGGCAAGCCCTTCTTGTCAAAGCATGGATCGAGAGAATGCGCGTGCAGGAGAAACATTTTGGCCTACTTTTGTGGCAACTAAACGATATTTGGCCCTCAGGATCCTGGGGATCGATTGAAGCTACAGTACCCTTTTATAGCACTAGTGCTACACCAGAGCGGCCGGGCGTCGAGACGTCGATAAGAGATAGAGCAGAAGATGATGAAGATAATCAGACTACGTCAGCATCGACATCTCCTACATCAGTTTCGACTTCTCGCGACAGGAGTGCATCAAGAACTCCAGCACAAGCAAGAAAACAACTTTCAGGCAGGTGGAAACTTCTGCACTATTGGCTGCGCAGCTTCTTGTTCAAAGAAGTTATTGTAAGTTGTGGTTGGCAAGAGCATGAAGACGAGACGATATTCGAGGACCGATATGTCTGTTTCGTACGGAATGACATGCCTGCAACTGAGACACCTGGTAGGAAGAAATTCCACCTCCGCTTAATGCAAGTATCTATCGTATCAGGAGAAAAGTGGGAAGTTTTCAGTGGGCCTGTTGAATGGTCAGAGCCTGGACCAGGTGCAGTTGCGTATATAGAAGCGCTTGGCGCAGAAGTAGGCGGTGTAATGCAGCAATCAGCGACAAATGAAGGCCTATTTGCTCCATCTAGTAGGAGCAAACTTGAAGCTAGAACGACTACGGTCATTGTAGCTGACCTATTGGTCTCATCTAGGGCTGCTGCTGGATCAAGTACAACAAGTTCTTCCTCGAAGGTGGGTCTATCCTCTGCGCTAGAGGCAAAGAATAGGCGGGGGGAGCAAATCACTGCAGAAGATCAAACACAAAGTCCAGAAGAAAAAACAGAACCCACCACCTGGGAACTGTACTCAAGCAACACTTTTCTTCTCTCCCGACCGAAAAACCTGCTGTTGGAGAACGCAGAAGTGCAGTGGGAGCTTGTTGAGGACCGAAGTTCTTCCAAAATTTCCTCGAAAGGAACAGGTCGGACTCGATCTCGCATCCTCGCTGTAGACTTTTGGATTCGACGACCCTCTATCTCTAGTATTAAAGGAGAAAAATACTCTCCGACTCCAGCACCAGCACTCTTTGTGACACTGACCACAGAATTGAGTGGATATTTTTCAGAGAACGGGTTTTTTCTGACTGCGCAGGAAGGAAGGAAAAGAGTGTCCTTTAGGGTACTTGATGATGATGATGATCATCATCATCATCATCATCATCATCATCATGAAAATGTTATACCGTACAATTACACTTCTCACGTAGGTAATCAGCACGTGGGTAACCAGTATACAGCGGATGGATCTCTTGTTGTAGAAGATGCCGATGTAGATAAAGGAGAAACAATCCCTATCCCAGATGTAGTTGGGGAGTTTGAAAAGACACTTAGAGTAGAACATTTGGCAATGTACTACCAAAACGTCAAGCAAGATAGGACAAAAATGACCTCAGTAGAGAGGTAGTGTTGAATGTGCTGATGGATTTTCCGAAATTACTGGTATCATTTTTGGTAGTAGCTGGCACGCGAAATTGTAACCATCGGTACATTCTAGGGCTCACTCCCTTATCATACAGCCAAGAGAAGACAGGGTCTGACTTTTCTGCCATGTTGTAGCTGCGTGAGGCCACCACAGTGCCTGTAGGCAATCATGATGAAGCAAGAGCGTAGGAACCCATTCTGCTGGTGTCTGCTGAATCGTGTTCAGCTAGAAGTCGTCCGTATCATGTCCTCTCATGCGACCATTGATGTTGCACCGAAACAGTTGATGATCTTCCAATGAAGATGGTGTGTTTCAAGAATTCTTTCGTACTTTCGCTCTACGTATTCACTCTTCTTCAACATACTGGTCAAAGAGTGAGATGCTTGCACTACTATGAATATTTACAACTCTCTCAGCACTACTTATCCTCCACAAGAACCGAAGCACTGATGCCCCCAGTGTTGACACAAGGAAAAAAAGGGTAGAAATCACAACAAACAAAGAAAGAACTCCTAGATTGGTAGAAGACCACAGGCACGAATAGAACGAGGTACATCTTCACATATCCGATCGTGTTTATTGGATTTGTTAAAGATCTATTTCGTCTGCCTCCGTTCTTTTGAGTGAATGATTCCGTGACTCCATTTTCCGTCTACTTTTTACTCAACAGCGCTTGAAGTGAAGAGTTGTTCTTCATATTTTCCTTGTGTTTCTTACATCTAGTAGGGCATTCATTTTCCTAATAATCTGAGAGGCATCGATCCTTCTCTTCCATGTTAGATAGAAGTAAGTTTGCGGTTTTTGAAGATTTGTGAGATCAGTACTTGCCTATGCAGTATGTAACAGGTTTGGTAATATCGTATCTACTCTACCCCTAAGAAAACACGAACAACATCAAGCCACCCAGTTGTAATTTCATATTAAATTTCGTGCAGTACTTGCTTCGGGTTCCGATGGTTATGACATCCCCCTCAAAAAAGAACCACTATTTTCCGTGGAGAAGTGACTCCACATCGACTATGTTCTTTATCTTCTTCAGCATAGTCTTGGGGACGATCATCCAAGCGATTGGTGTAGCTGCAGCTGTATTTTCATCTCCGTCCTCTGCAGCAGGATCACGTGAACAAGAAGCTGCTCAGCATGGATGCGAAGTTGTTGCCCAACATGTTGAGGACGAGCATTTCTTGCGGGAATGGAACCAGCAAAAGGGCGCAGTGATAACGCCCCTTGACGTCGTGACGCAGCTGGCCGCTTCACGGAGTGCGCTGTGCCTGAAGAATGAACAAATCCGAGATCTCTCCTCACAGCTCACGGCCAAAAGCATCACGGACACGCAATACGAGCTGGCATTGGCTGCTCTAATGGCAGAGCGGGAGGCACTGCAGAGAGAAGTTGAAGACCTCCAAGCCAAAGCGGAGTGGGCAGAAAAGGAAGTTTATGGAACAAAGTGCTTGTTGGTTGTTGATGTGGTGAAAGAGTTGTCTTTGCTTTTAATTATTCTATGGTAAGTCCTCGAGATTCCAGTATTGATTCCGTTTCTGTCTTGAGTTTTCTCGTCAGTCTTCCCTCATAATACACAGCGTGTCTCCTACTTCTCCTGTCACCGTACCTTCTCTATAGAGACCTGTCTTCCCGATTGATGTCCCCACTTCATTCCTCCTCTCGTCTCCGACAACAGCGCTTGCAGGATCAAGAGGATCGAAGGAAGCGAGGCAACGCAGCCTATCTGAGGAGGCAACTAGAAGCGGCGAGGGTCACAGACCTTGTCGAAACGCGAGAAGCTGCCGCAGCTGCAGCAGAACGGCAGAGACTTCGCGCTGAATTCAAGGAAAAGGAGAGGAGGCTGAAAGTTATGGAGGACAGCGTGCTTGCAAAATTACTTTCCGAAAAGTAAAGCTAAATCTTCGAGGTATCTTCACTAGCAGACAGACTAGTGCTGTGGCTCTAGTTATATACTTTTTTGTTATTTGAATGCTGGAAGGAAGATCTTGAAGATCACGACCAGTTGTACTCGTACTACCCTTGCTTATACTTTTTTCTTTTTTGTTTGAACAAGTCTCTTCTTGTTCTCTACTTACTCTTCCTTTCTAACAAAAGTACTTTCTTAAAATCAAGTCTCTCCTCGTTCTCTTACTCTTGCTTGTCTCTAATGTCAACGAATACGAGAAACAGCGTGAGAAGGCTTTGCGAGAAGCCAAGGATCGCTTAAATGGACTGCGTGGGCAGGTCTCACAAATGGAGAGGTGCAATCGTGAGCTAAAAGCGAAACTTGCAACGCAACCCCCTAGGTCAACGGCTTCCAGTTCGCAGGACGCCGCTACAAAAAAGGGTAGTAAACTGATGGATGATACGGGAGCAGTAGAAACGCTCGGCAACGAGTTCGAGGTCTATCAACAGCTTGTGGAACACCTGGAAACGCTGAAAGAACTAGCCTTACTGCCGGGTGAGGAAGATGATCGCATTTGGATCGAACACCTGACAGAACAGCTCTCGCGCTTACAACTTTTTCTAGAGCGCTCGGGCTACTACGTCGCAACGCAAGTAGAAAGTCAAAATTGTAGTTCTGTTTCAGATGTAGATGCAGATGGTGTTAGTCCTCATAGTGATCATAGAAGTTGTAGTCCCATCAACGATCATCTAGTGGGACGATTCAGTGCTATTGCGAATATTCTAGGACTTGGTCGTGAGCAAGGACTGGAGGAGACAACTACATTAAGGGTGGGATTGGGAAGTTGACCTATCATCTAAGAGCATCTCTTCTATGGCTTCTTCAAGTAGGAAGGCCAAAGATATGCGAGCTAGAGATGCCAACTCTCAGCCTCTAACTACAGTAAAGAGGAAAACTCCAAAGGCTGGAGCTGCACGTGAGAGAGTATCCTCATCCACGACAACGTCTGCTGGAACGCCTCGGTGTGCTAGCATTTCTTCCTTGTTGTCTGCAACTCCGGCCGAGAGTTCCGCTTCGGCAGAAAGTGCGGATGCTAGCATTGGTACAGCTGACGCCTCAGGAGGTCTTGCGCCAGAGGCAGTGGCTTCATCGGAGCAGCAAGTCACAGTGGAGAGTCGTACAGTGGAGAGTCGTAGTCCTCAATCGTCGAACTCCACGGGTAGTCCTCACAGCACACGTCGTAGAAAACCGCAGTCGAAGACATCAAAAGCACAAGCCAAAGCTTCTCAGGCTTTGCTTTTGGGGAGTACTAAAGCATCTACTTCGAAAGGCGAGTTGATAGGAGCTGAGCAAGGACGCTCATGCACTGATTTTCGAATGACTTCAACAGCCGCGTCTTCTTCAGAGAGCTCAGCTGCATCGACTGCGTCCTCTCCTTCAACTTCCAGAAGTTTCAGGACTAGACTTTCGCGAGCAATCAGTTCTCTTCAATACGTTTCAAAAGGCATGCACTTGTTACACGATACTATCGTGATCCTGGGAAAGAACGCAGTCCTTGAATGCGAAATAGTCCTTTTGTTCCTTCTGCGTCAACTTCTGACTCTGAAACGCGTTTTGCTTCCCCTGATTTTCAACTTAGCCGAAGGAGTGCGAGTGGTGATTATGAAGAATGGACATTTAGAAATGACGATCATGTTCACGTGGCCTTTGTGACACTTCTTCTATCTTATTCTTTCACACTCCACCTCGTCCAAATTCTGTGTAAGAAAGTACTTACTTACTAGTCTCCCAACATGTTGTTAAAGAAGAGAATCATCAACCCATATTAATTTTTTCAAAACGCATTATACGTCACCCTCTAGAATCTGCAAAAATGGAAAAGGATCTAGATGCTCGAGTAAGTATTGAACTCCCTCTCCTTGCTTCATGTACCTCGAAGAATGTGGAGGCCCTACGGTCAAGCTTGCCGAAGAATGGGACGAAGACCAAGCTCAGATGTTCGACGGAGCGACTCGGGTTAGTTCCGTCGCATGTCTTATATCCGGTTGGATGTATGATGAATTAACAGTATTGTTCAGAACGAATGAATGATCTCACAGCGAGGACTCATTGAGAACGAATCTCAAAGAAGATATGGGAACAAAAAATGTCGTTATAAGTAATTCTAAAAGTTGTATTAATGCAAAAAAGGGGGAACGACATAGGTACCCATATCGACAGTGTCTCAATGAGTGGAGGCATTCATTGGATCTACATGAACCGAGACGATCTTGGCTGGGTCGATGTGGAGGTATTACCCTCACCGTTCTTTCCGGCACACGCACACCGTTGCACGTGGGCCACACTGCTGTCTTTTCAAGTAGTAGGTGCGGTGGTTACGCATACCCTGTGGCAATTTACAAATGGGAAAGGACTAGCATTGAGGACACTGTTGCTATCCACCCTTGCTTCGGCTACGCTTTGTGTGCTCGTTTTAAGGGTACAAGAAATCTCCCATTTTCAGAGGCATCTTGGTCCCGTTTTTTAAAGGGAAAAGGAGACCCAAGATGCTGCTGAGGATGGATTTCCATTAGTTCTAATCGTTGAGGCGAGTCGAAATATTGCACCGACGACAGGTACTACGGCTTTCACTACTTGTTTCTCTCATCTGGCACTCGATGTCTCCCATAATGTTGATGAATTTTTTTATACATCAACGTACGTTGTGCATCTTCACGAAAGAAGAAGAACTACATTGAAGACGAGGAGGCGTGGTCACCATTTTTTGTAGAACAATATCGGAAGTAGAACACTTTGACTTTCATCTGTCTACTTGGCATCTTTATGGCCATCATCAAAATCCATCACGACAGAATCCAGTGAGCTCGATGTTAGGTCTAGCCTTTGCACTATCGATGACCTCGAAAATCGGCTGAGTGCTCTTACGCTATCAGCGATGTCCGATCCGATAGCTGATGATGGTTCCACGTGCAGAAATACTTATGATCGAACAAACTTGGCGTAATGTTAATGATTTCTCCTTCTCACAGAGTAGTTGTTTTACCTCTTTAGGTCCTCAACGACAGCATGTGAGTCGGAGTAAATCCTTACTAGGACGATCTTCGTTACCAGGAGTGATTCCGCATCATTTTTAGTATGCAATGATGAAAGAATAGCCTTCATTTTTTATCGGTTCATCTTCTTCTAAACAAAGCAAAGCATTCCAGCAAATATGGTATCGTCAGTGTCAAGTCCTAAATGCACTGTGGATCCAGTAACTGGGTCAATCCGTGGTAACCTCTGTTGCAGCACTTTTCTGAGAAGGGATCTGCTATCCTTTCAGGAATTCATGCGCTCGAATGGTTCGGAAAGGTTAGGCTTATGATAAGTAGCTGGAAGGGTTAGCTGTTCTAGTTATAAGCTGGAAGGGCGACTAGTTGTTCCATACCCCAAGATTGGGTACACTACTACTACTACTACTACTACTACTGCTACTACTACTACTACTACTACTACTACTACTACTACTAGTGATGACGACGAGGACGCTTTGCGTGTCCTACACATTAGATTTTTATTCCTGTTCGTTCTACTCATCTGTCGTGATAATCTGCTGGAGTGCCTTTGTGATTTTTTGCCGAAGCGCATGTTCCACCGCGCAATGCTGTGTTGACCTATGCATAGTACGCATCGGCATCCTCTAATATCAGAGGTGTCACTTGCAGGACATACGTTTTTAAAGCACGAAAAACCGCTTTTTAGTAAAGAAAAGGAAGACGACCTCCACAGCAGAGACGAAGATGACGAAGACCAAGAGGAGTTTCGCGTGGCTCTTCGTACCTCGATAGGTATCACTTTGCAAGCATTGTTGTATGTTTGGTCGAATTTCTTCGCTGATCCCCCAGTAGAATCCTGTGGCTATGACAGTGAAGACGAACATAAACATTAAGGCTTACCCTAGTTCATTTTAGGAATCTTCGTTGACGTGCTTTCAGGGGGAAAAGTTCACTACAAAGATTCGCTCGGAGATGATTTTGGGTAAGCTCTAAGGGCAATCAGTAGCCTTCGCCAAGCAAGCTGCCAAAGCAGTGGCAAATAAAGGTTCTTCAGGTTCTTCGCGTCGTCCGAAGGGTAGGAGACGTGGATGAAGAAGACTATGACCACTCAAGCAGTAAAAAAACCAGTAGCAGAAGATGGATGAAGAAGACTATAACCACTTAAGCAGTAAAAAAAAAACGGTAAGAGCATACATCACATCTTCTCGATTACAGAGCAGATCTTGACCTTGACCTTATCAAAAATAGAATGTTCAATCTGATACAACTAATTAGACTTCTTGTTACTCATAGCAATCGACTCATTCTTCAAAACTTTCGAAGAAGAACAGTCTGAGTTATATTTTGTTTCGCCTTCGGGTTTATTTTCCATCTAAGATACTCTTCTTTTTGAGATCGTTTCGAACGGACCAGGTCATATTGATCTCCACACTAGAAGCAGTATGAGGTCGCTATTAGTTCATAGACGGTTACTCCTGTTAGTATCAGATTAATATCGGGAATTAATACAACATTAACATACTTTTTCATCTGTCATCAACATCCTAGTACTGAGACAGGAAAAAACACAGACTTGTTCTTTCTTATCCTTCATGAAGATGGATTCTACTATCTGCGTGGCTACTAACATGTATAAAAAGGAGAACTCAGTCTCAGACTGCGTGCCTATGCAAACAGGAGGACTCACTTTCTAAAAATGTGCAACTTCTTACTAAATAATTACACGTGAAGAACAACGTGAAAGACATTTCTTCAAAGAAACCCAATGACGCAGGGCATCTGGTAGTCCTTCAGAGGCTGCGTTAATCCGCTTAAGAATGCAGCTAAACCCTGCGGACGGCGGATCACATCCTAATCCTAATCCTAATGGTCGTTTGCTCCTTCATGTTAGTCGTGCATAAGGCGCGGTCAAGAGTTGAGTAGAACAAGCAACAGAAAATGGCCGATAGAGCTAAAGTTCGTGCATTGTATTTTGTGGGCTTCTGCTCCTTTTCATACATGGCATAGGAGTGCTCCTGGCGCTCTTCATTATACACACCCAATAGGCTGACTTTCGACCACCTCAGGAACGATCTACAACCACCCTAGGCAAGGCTAACGTACGGCTTAAGGTCTAAAAGTGAATAAAAAGGAAGAAAAAACACAGTATGAAGCCGAGGTATTCAGAGACAAACGAAAAACACAGTATCTATACAATCTAGATTTTCAGAAGCAACAAGCGTAGGACGAGGACAGCGAGAGATTGCATTGAGCGTGTGAAAAATGAGCGAAACACCATGATTAAGGATATCCGTCAACCTTGGAAGTCTGAACCTCAACCTCTCAAAAAATAGTATTCATTAGTATCACAGCACTGCGTGGGTCGTCAAGTCTTCCTTTTTGCTTTCAGTTTCCTTATTCTATTCTGTTTCTGATAAAGCTGGCTCAGTGTTAACAGCGCCCACTTTGTGGAGTCAATATATATGTAAATTGTTTGATTATGTAACAGACATGTTTAAGTGATTAAAAGGGCGGCGGCATATAGTCCTAACAACTCAAAAAGAAAATTCAACGCAGATCTTTTGCGAGCACATAATGGGTGAATGAATGAGTTGAATTGTGTCCTCGGCAGTGCGATTAGGCTATGATCCGGGTTACGACGTGGTTGCGGAGACTAGTTTTTTTTTTGCCAGATCAAGTAAGTAGTAGAATACCAGTAGTACAAGAAGTAGAGTTTTGAGAACAAGAGCAGAGAGTACAGCTAGAAGTTGATATGATTAAGGGTTAACCAATTACATCCCCCACAACCATTCCTCACTCTTTTTCCAGTAGGAAAGAGATGAGGGTTGTTCTGAAGAATGTAATGCTCCTGCAACCTTTAATCTGATCATATGTTCATCTGCGAGAACAAGTAAGTACAGTAGAAGTTTGATCAACTACAACGAACTCGAACGAGAACGAGCACGGCTTCTACATTTATACTTCATTAAGAACAACACACAGAACGGCAAGCCGATGAAGACAACGAAGAACTTCAAGAAAAAGAGTTTCGATCCATTTGTTTCGGCAGTACCACGTGGAACAAACACCTTGTAAACTACTACATCTTCAAGAACGCCTTCTTCAAAAGAAGCCAAATAAACCTTCTCCGATCATGACTGACGCACACGCAAATAACGCTATGATGGAATACGACCAGGGAGAAGAGAACCCTCAAGAGGGGACGGGCGTCGCGTCCCGTCTCCTCGCAGACGACGTGCTCTATCCCTCTGATCTAAAGATTTTGGGATTGTTGCAGTGCGAATTGGAGATTATGACTCTTTTTTATAACAGCTGAACATGATGAAATTATAGTTTCTAGCTCCACTGCAGTTTTTGTTACAGCTAAGACTTCATGATCTTCATTCCGCTGAAAAAGCCATTTGATGGTTATGCAGAGGTACTTATATGCGTCCTCTTCATAGTGCTCCTCAGATGAGAAGTAGATGCAAATTTCCCTCTCCACGACACGACCCTTGCCCTTCTCCTTGCCCTTCATACGAAAATTAACCACATTGAGGAATGTGGTTGCGAACGGTGATGTTGCGGAGGTGGAACGACTACTGAGCAAGAACTCTCTCTGTGTCGATGTTCCTTGCTACGATGATAGTAGTGACTCGTTTTGCACCTTACTGGGCTTCGTCGCAGCCAGACCGAACCTGCCAAACGGCACAGAGCTGATGAAACTCTTGCTAGCTCACGGAGCATCAGTAAACTTAGGGCTTCTACAGAAGTTCTTCACTAGTATCCCTAATATTCGCATGTTGTGGACTGTGCTGAGTGAAGAAGTGCCACTACTGGTTCTAGAGGGGAAACCCAAAAAAACGCCAAATGAAAGGGGGGAAGATGGCAGCCCACTCAACCTGGCATAGTGAAAAAACTAGCGCTAATAAACGCGTTGTCGAATGTGGGCGAGACACCTCTCTTTCTTGCTTGTAAGTGCAAGAACGTTCCGGGAGCGAGTCTGTTGTTACGGCTTCCTCTTGCCCTCATTCATCTTCTTGAGAAGCAACATCTTGGAAGGCTTTTGTCTAGAGAAAATTGAGAAGTATCTTCAAGGTGCCTTGTTCCTTCTCAGGGATTAAGTTGAATTATTGGGGTCGCCGGAAGGTCTAATGTTGCTTGCGAGCGGTGCGAGGCATGACATCATAGATCACAGCGGGGCTTCGGCTCTTTGTGCAGCGGCTAGCTTGCCGCCAAAGGATAGTATGGACAACGAGGAACGACACGAAGCGTCGTTGCTGTCGGTAGAATTGATTGAGTTGCTTTATGGCGTCCTTCTTGTTTTCCCTGTGATCAAAATGAGGCTACCAAATACCAGAGCCATGCATCGCTAGAACTTCTCTTGACCAGGGAGGGTTACCCATGAAGTACATGACCATGAGGAACTACATACACTTTTACTAGCAGTTGATGTTGTAGTATCCTCATTTTCTTTCTCAGTGTTGCACTGGATGAGTACCTCATCTCTAACTCCCGCTCTGGTACCAAGCTGATCGAAATGGGCAGTGTCATCCAGGTGCTAAAGTGCCACTCGTGGTCGCTATTGAACACAACAACTATATCGGAGTTCAGACCTTGCTCCAAGCTGGTGCTAGTCCCAGCAAAGGACCAACCATACTTGCGGCGTTAAGTTGCGCAGCAAGCGAAAGTGATGTTGATATCACTTTCATGTTGATGGTACTAGTACTAAGAGTTCTTGTCTTCCCGCCTTATAATTAAGGGAGGTTTTCAGAAATTTGTTTTTAGAAATTCAAATTTTTGTGGTCTACAATTTCAATTATGACAAGTCGATCCTCGTCTCGTCCATCTTTATTACGCTCTCCATCTCATTTCATCACAGCTTCTCTGCAGTGCTGGCGCCGACCCTCTCTTTTGCGACGAAAGTGGCAGGCTCCCTGTCCAAATCGCTTATTCTCTTTTCGGCGATCGCGATGAGAGGTTTAGTTAAGGGCGCGACCGTCACGTCAAGAACCCATCTGCTCTCACAGCACCACATCAGCATCTTATAGATAGAAAGAAGGCAGTTACTTTCTATTTCTTTGGAAAGTGCTAAATAAAGTAAAGAAATATTAAAGATGTTGTTACAAGTAAAAGATGTTGTTCATCTTCCAACTCCAAGCTAAAATAAGATGTTCATCTTCATCCTTGTCTCCTGTAGAGACTCTTCTAACTTAGACTCTTAAAGCAGCACTTACAAGACTGGGAGGTCCTTTTCGGCTTGGATCCGATAGACTTGAAGGCTCTCATCAACGAAATGAAGGAGGAGAAGCAACTCTATGACGAATTGATGGCGGCAGAGCAACAGGCAAGAGAACTACAGGCCGAAACTGGTATTTTTGAGTTCACTTTGAGTTTGTGCCAGAAGAGCTTAAGAGGAAAGAAGAGAGAACTAGAAGGAAGGGAAGAAAAGTAGCTGATCTCTACTGCGATATTGTAGTTTCTATTCTTGCGACAAGAAAAGTAGAAGATATTATGTATATTAGGCTTCTAGACGGTGACTTCTCTATCCTTTACCTACTATCCTTCCTTTTTCTTTTCCTAGTTAGTTTGGCTCCACCCATATATTAGGCTAGACGGTTGTTTGACTTTGAGGTTGTTTCCTTGGTAAAGACCTTGCCACAGGATCCATGTTCTATTTTTGCACATTCGTGCCTTGCTTCCAACACAACGCATTCACTTTCATCGGCAGGCGACGAAGATGGCGTGATCTTTCCTTTACAGGGAAGTGGCAGTATGAACTTTGCTGAGTTGAGTAACAAGCGTGCTGCGACGAGTACTGCGGCAACGGCTGGGGGTGGTGGTGTCGCACAGACCCGAACTGCTAGGGCCACTACTAGAGTTGTGAGCAACCTTTTACCAGGTATGGCGATGTGATATAATTGTCGTGGAAGACCTGTTGTTCCCCTCTCTTTATCCTGACTAATTCTAATGGAATAGCTCTTGTTTCCCAATCCATGCATTTAATATCCTGACCTCGAGGACAAAAATTCTTTCTCTTTCATCCCCAAACGTGCGGGTCAAGCAGTGCGAAGACTACTGCCGCAGAAACTGTTGGAGAAAACCAAGGGCGGTCAACTGCTCAGTCGGATCATAGGACTGGATCAGACTTCAACCTACCTGCACCACGAACCGCAATACAACACGGCCGTTACGCATCGAGGAAGCACAAATACGGGTCTGCCAGAACCACATTTTTTGACGGAATTTTAAGGATCTACAATGGAAATATAGGCATTTCTTTGCTTTCTGCTAGCACTGTCGCGTGCTTTCCTATAAAAATTCCCGTAAAAATAAAGGTCTTCTAACTCCCGCGCAATGCCATAAACGGCTTAGAAAAGCCTTGTCGAGATCTGCTGAAGGATAGTTGGTTTCAGATGCTGATGCTCCTGACGCTGCTCATCGCCCTCTACTTCCCGGATCTCTTCGTGGTAGGCGACGTCTCTCCAGTATCAACATTGGACGTGCTGTTGTACTTATGCAAAGAACCTGGTATTGGTATATTATAACTTTCCAAACTACAACAGCTGCACCTCCTTGTTCAACGATCATGGTGCCACTCTCTCTGCCGTTGCATAGTACGAGTAGCGCACAGCGCGCTCTCGTCTTTTTCTCATCTCTAATCTTGATAGTAATGGCGCTTTTTCTGTTCGAAATATCAGTGCAGTGTTTGGCGACTGCTGGCTATCCTTGGTCCTTCTTCTTCTGGGCAGACACGGTTGGGATGCTGTCCGTCATCCCGGACTTCTCATTCATCATGCAGATGACCTATTCCACGGTACTTGTAGTTAGTATGCTATCTTGTTCTAGCAAGTTAGTAGTAGTGCAACTGTTGAGATGTTGTTCATGTTCTTCAGTACAGATGTTGCCGCGAGGACTGAACGCAAAAGAGAGACGCAACAAGCACAGCTTCTCATGGGGAAAGATGATGTGGTCACAAATAATCGTGTACTTGCCACAACAGAGTGAAGACGGTGATGCGACTATCATCTTGGTCACGAGGATGATCAAGCTCGCTGCAAGAGCAGGCAGGTTTTTCCGACTAGTCAAAATCTTGAAAATCCTCCCGGGAATGAGCAGCATGCTTGAAGCGGGAGCCGCGGGAACAGCAAGGAAGATATCAGATCGACTCCATGCCGCTGTGTCGATTCGGGTGTCTTTCGTGATTATTTTCATGGTCATCTTGATTCCCGGTCTGCTCGTAGTGACAGTTCGGCTGGCAGAACAAGACTTGTCGTTACTTGTGTGGCCAGAGCTAGTAGCGAAGTCAGCGATAACGTCAACGCACACGAAGGCAGCGGAGTTGGCTTTTATGAAGATGTAGATGATCTTCTTGATCAATATAGTTTACCATTATCATTGGTGTCGTCTCAAAGAGACCAACACCTAACCACTCACTACAAGTTGAATTCAGGAAAACAACAACTACCCTTCTACAGGGACAGATGCAGTGCTGCCCCCGCAGTTAGCATAACAGGAGCTTCACCAGCATAGTAAGTCTCCTCATTTAATAAAGTACTTAAAAAGAGTCTTTGTCTTTCCCCCTGTCATCTCTGCTCCCTTTTCTCCTCTTCAAGAAGAGCAGTTTTTCCTTCTTTCATCTTCCCCTTCTTCGCCAAAGAGGAATTCTTCCCGTACGAATTGGAGCGTCGCTGGTATTGGGGAACCACGAGACCTGAATGGGATGATTTGCATTACAGAGAAAATTTAGTCCAATTTCCCGAATTCGAATCGTTTGGTCGCGATGGCGAGAGCGATCCAAAGCGGTCAATTACGGCGTGTCCTTTTTAGATTGAAGATTCATTTTGTTGAGAAGCATCTTCGATAGAAGGGTCGTGCCTAGAAGCATCTCTCTTAGAAGGGTCAGGGTGCTGCCGACCAACATGATGTCCATAAGAGAGGGGGACTCATTGCCAGGAAGATGCTCATGCTCTGGAAGATGCTCATGCTCTGGAAGATGCTCATGCTCTGGAAGATGCTCATGCTCTGGAAGATGCTCATGCTCTGGAAGATAATGGTGCCAGTCTACAATTATATAAAAGATCTTACCATTATACTTTATAGCACGCATGGTGCATGGAGTAGCATGGAGTGCATGGAGCGCAGAGCTTTAAGGGGCGCAAGAAGCTCCCCCTTTAGCTCCATGCTACTCCATGTGATCCATGCACTCCATGCCATGCGAGCTGTGAAACCTTAGAAACTGCTCTATTATAGAAGAACAAGCCGACTTCAGGTGTAAGCTCTAAACCATGTAACGTAGTCGTGCGAGCATCACCAGCAGTCGTGTTCGAATTCAATTCCACGGACTGGCGTAGTTCGAATTCGACACTTGGCTTTTACTTGCCGCCACCAACGGACACGAGTAACATTTATGACATTGCTATTAATAGTACGTCAACGTAGTCGTAAAACGTAGTTGTACGACCATAACTTCATTGCTACGAGTCCGTACTAAAAATAGTCCATGTTGACACGACGCGGCCTCCATGAGAATCGAACCCCAGGTCTTCGATATTCTCTACCAAACTGAGTACTAGTACTTTAAAAACTCCTTATAACCTGAACTTGTTCTATCTTCCACCCCGTCCTTCACCTTCCCCTTCTCCCACCCACGCTCTTTCCACACTCTCTCCATTCATATCACGTACTCCATCGTGAAAGTGCGGTATAATTTCACATATATCCATCAATTGGATTCGGGTATGAACATGGTCATGATTGCGCTGATCATGACTCTTCTAGTGGTCTTCTCTTTGGCCTTGCAGGGAGTGATAAAAAAGATTGTGCTCAGTCCTTTTATGGTGAACGAGTTCACTTCTCATACTCTCTAAAAACAACTATGAGAATTCCATGTAGAGTGTTGATGAAGATATTGCTTTCGAGAACTATTCAGACGGAACCTAGCAAGCGCAAATTATCGATGATATTTGAACCAGAAAATATCATGAAGAAGATTCTAAATCTACTACTGCAGTTTATTCATGATCTACTTCTCCCTCCACCACCAGCACCAGTACACTGACCCCCCCCCGTGATCATGATCGACCCCCGTATAAGTAATCCCCTTTCATCTCCTTAGAAGCACTCTTGAACCAAGTCCGCGAACTCGCCGCTACGATGTTCAAAAGCGTCAACGACATGTCCAGCGTGATGAAGGCCACTGGTGAAGAAGAGGAGGACGATGACATGGTCCCGGAGGAGGAGGACGAAGACGAGGATATCACCAACAACGACGAGAAGAATCCGGGACATTAAGCCTTTTCACACATTCTCGACATTTTTGACTTCTGATTTTTCAATTTACTCAATTCGGAACTCTTGGCTCAGGTAAGTCACCGAAGAGAACCGGGTAGCTGCATAGCATTCGGCGCTGGTCATAGATACTCTCCCTCGGTACTACATTGACTGCAGAGCGGTGGCTGTAGTAGTCAAGACTCTTAGACATCAAGGGGAACAAGAACAACCTTTGACTACTATTAGAATACTGGGAATAGAGACTTTCCCTCGATACAACTAGTTCGGAGTTCGTTCCTACTCGTCCCTATACTAGGAAAGAAGTCAAGAACGATCTGAAGAATGCAGTGCCGCAACCTGTAAGGACAGATGATGGAGACCGCTTTGTTGGGGAAAATCGCGAATAAGCTGACGTTGTTACACGACATCACCATGGCGAAACAAATGCAAGATCAGGTATTGAAGGAATCGCTAATCACGGATTTTTTACGTCGTTTTGAAGATTTCATCAAATGTTTCCAATGAATTGCGGATCACTTCTACTTTTGGATTGACTACATACTACCCAAGTACAACAGGTCGACGAAGAGATCCAGCAGTACACGCAAGCCGCAATCTACAAGAAGCCGCAAAGTTATGCTCAAGAACATTGAGTGTCCATCTGTGGTCTCGGCATCTTGATCCCCTTTTCCCTCGTATTTCATGGGAACAAAGGGGTCCTCCGGGTGAGGGGACCGCAAAAATGGATACTCAAGAAGCCGACTTCTCTAACAAAGGGTGGTGGAAGACGAGGAGGAAGAAGTCAGAGATGAGGAGTTCCTAAGACTCCAGCGAGTAGCCCTTATGCAGGCTGGGTTGACGTTAGAGGACGTGGAAAGTTTCGAATTCAATCCATTGGAGTTGGACGATTTCCAAACCTACACTGCTGTTTTGTGGTTCCTACAGGGGGAAAGCATGAACCTAGGGCCATGGATCAAAGACACATTGAAAGTGGATGGGAAACAGGTACTTAATATTCTTTTGGTGGAAAGAACGTGGTCTGCTGTTCACACCCCTCTGCCTCAACCTCCTCAACAAGCACAAAGATCAGGGTTTTAGTATGGGTCGTTAGAAGCACTTTGAAAACATACTATTAAGCACTGACTTGGGAATAAAGTGACTTTGATAATTTCGTTTTTCTCAGTAGTCGAAGTGTATTATCCACCATCTCCAGCTCATGGTTCACTGAAGTTGAGATCCATAAACTTTCGTAGAAGGAAGCTTAGAGTGTACCACCGCATTCCCATCACCATTTTGACAGATCCAGCGTTTCCTCGAGGAGATTTCAGCGAAGTACGTGAACACAAACCCCTACCACAACTGGCTCCATGCTGTGGATGTCACCCATTGCACTTATTCGCTATTAAACCTCTGCAAGACGAGAGATATTCTCTCGGTTTCCGACAGATTCTCGATGATTTTAGCTGCCGTCTGCCACGACGTCGGTCACCCTGGTTACAACAACCCCTTTTTGGTGGAGTCAAGCGATGCTTTGGCTTTGAAATATAACGACAAATCGCCACTAGAGAACATGCACTGCGCGATTATGTTTGACGCGGGCTTTTCGAATCCGGAGACAGCTATTTTTTACGGCTTACTTTACCTAAACCTGTACAACTTAATTCCTCGTTTTAAATAGAGAGGCATCTTGATCTTTGAGTTATATTTGACGTGCTTGTTTCGCGGAGAACAAAACAGCAGAAAGATGCACCGGATGCACTCGACGGAGTTGAGTTTCTTGTTCAAAGTAGCTAAAAAAACGAACCCCTAGGTGTAAGGTTAAGGAACCTCAAGCTTCATCATTCTCATTCTCTTAGTTAGTTTCGTGTTAAGTTGTAACTTTCCACAACATACGTAACCGCACCGCTTCGCCATTCCAATCTTTGCGTGAGATCCATCGTGTAGACCATCTATGACGCCCTTATGGCAGTCTGCGCTGAACTTTCTTGTGCGAGATTAATTGCATTGTATTGTGCCTCTAATTTCTCGATAAATGCAGCAAGAACACCTACATCGACATCAGAAGAGTAGCAATAGACGCGATTTTGCATACGGATATGGTCAACCACTTCCCGATGGTGAGCCATTTGAAGCTGTTGTACGAAGAAAACGTAGAGATGATCTCCATGGTGCAACAGGAATACTGGGGAAGCGTTGTTATGACCTTGACTTGTGGTCACAATAATAAATGTAGATCTTGACATTGACAATCTAAGGAAATAAGGTAGTTACCGACTGAAATAAGGGAGGTGGTAGCTTTGACAGGGCCACTCTTCCTCTTTAAGTAGTTACTCGCTTATTTTCAGGAGTTACTTGCTTATTTCAGTTTTTCGAATATATCTTGATCATCTCCTTCCAAGGAGAACCTCCTAGTACCGTCGGTTAGTTTTCCCCCTCCATGATACATCGTATCTCAAACTTCCTTGTCTGAAGCTCATATATCTCTCTCTCTCTATAGCATCAATCTCCAAGGAGAACAACCTGTTCATCTTAAAATTGCTCTCTTTTCTGTTCCTCCTTAGGAACGTCAGTTAAAAAAATGGCCTTGTAGATGAAAAAACGAGCTCTGACCTTGAGAAGATAGAAGATGTAGACGTACTCAAAAGTAGATGACGATGTTGAACTAGGTAGTGTACTACTACTACTAGATTGAGTTAGATAGTGTAGTGTACTACTAGATGATCATTAAGTTAGGTATTGTACAACAAGAACTACTTGACGACTTAGCTTTGACAGGATCTAACCTCAGTGGCGGTTTACATGGCGGATTCAACTACTTGGGAAGCAGTGGCACCAATGCTGGTGGTGGAGGTGGGAAGTCGAGTTGGGAGTTACCACAAGAGGCCATTGATTTTTGGAAACAGCCAGAGAAGGCTAGTTTGCTGAGGAATATGATCTTGCATGCGGCGGATATCAGCAACCCGTTTAAGCCGTTTCCAATATGCAGGGCGTGGGCGTAATTAATTAGATTTTCACCTCCACTCAGTGATTTGGAATTCAACTCATCCACGGGAACGAACGGAACCCCTGAGTGATAGATTTCAATTCCACAAGAACAACTTTCTCAGGTATCTGGTCCTCATCCCCAACGAACGGAACTCGTGAGTGATAGATTTCAATTCCACAACAACTTTCTCAGGTATCTGGTCCTCGAAGAATTCTTCCTGCAGGGTGATTTAGAGAAGAAGAGGGGATTGACTGTCCAGATGTTGAACGACCGAGACAAGGTGAAAAAGCCACAGTCGCAGATCGGCTTCATCGAGTTCGTGGTCGCACCGTTCTATTTTCAGCTATGGATGTTGACATGATGAACTACTACTCGAAGAAAACTGATGAAAGTTGTAAGGGAGTTTTTACTGACTGGTGACATAAAAGTAGAGTCTTGACTGTACATTCCTCTTCGTTTTTCAGTTGTACCTCCTCAACAAGTTCGTTAAATCAATGCCTTACACTCTTTGGCTTTAAAGTTATTTTAAGTAGTAGTTGCTCGGTTATTTCAGTTCATCGAATACTTGGCTTTGGTTGAAAATGGTCATAAGCGGTTTCCTAGGTTGCTTGTACTAGGGTGACTGCTCGATGACGAGCTGCGTTAGTTCTAGTTGTATTGTACTTGTTCCTTTTCCTTACGAAAAAAGAGCTCGTGTTCTTCTAATACCCTTCGCCACCTTGATGCCGAGTATCTACCAGTGTGCTGAGGGCATCGTGCACAACGTCCGGCAATGGGAACAAGAGTGGATCGAGGAGGAGGAGCACGCTACCGAGGAAGCCCAAGCTGGTGTCCACAATAGAATCCTGAAATTGGAAGAAGGGTTAGAGAAGTGTAAGATGGTGTGAGGTCCTCAGGAGATCTACATCTAGGTGGAGGATGTTGGAGAAGTGAAAGATGGTGTGACGAGGAGAGGTACATCTAGGTGGAGGATGTTGGGGATGATCATGGTATTGGTAGGGAGGAGACATCAGGGATGGGGATCTAAGTACTTGTAAATTTTTACAAGTTTATAGTACTTATGCAGAACTGTTGTAAATAGGTCATGTCTTAGAAAAATGAAAATGTAAGATGCGGTAACTACAAGATTTTGTTCGAGAATCACGAGTAGTCGTAAATTCATACTGTAGTTTGGCTAATTATTTACAATGTTTCTGGAAACGTGACCTACAAGAACTAGTACTTGAACACAGAGAGCTTGTGAATAACAAACAAAATTTCACCAGAGAGCAAAGATAAGAAACTTCTTATTCTAGCATGATTTCGTTACTTTTCGACTAAGGAAAACATAAACAACTCAAATTAATATAGCAGTTTGTTTTAACTTGATTGTATTTCCGGTAGGTAACACTGCCTAGTCATTCTTGTTCTTACTTTCTATTGATAGATATAGCGCAGGCATCTGCAGTTGCAAGAATTAAGCCTCAAGGAAACCGACCTGCACCAGGCAGAAGCCAGTTTTTCTGCAGAAGCAGATGTGTGACGTTTATATAGCAAATCGAAATGGTTTTGTTAAGAAGAGTACGCCGCGTTTTTTTAGTGTAGTGTTGATGCGCAACATGCTCTTCTAGCCCCCATATAGTACCCGATGAGACAGGATGTCATATCTAAGGCAGTCATATCCTCATGTGAGTTGAGAGAAGAGCTCCTTAATGACACACTTCAGTTCGAGGTTGACGCTTCATCTTCATCTACTTAAATGTCTCCTATAATTCGCTGTGCCTTGTTCTGCAGTGATGTGATTCTGATATGTCGAAGACCTATCATGCTTGAATATTTTACTAGTGTCTAATAGCGCATGATGTGAAAGCTGTGATGATCAAGTGGTTCTTATACATAGTATTGACCTCTCGAGTGATATCTAATGATTTTAAAAATCTTAGTCTTTTTTGTTTGACAATGTAAATACAATGTCATGGCATTATCGTTTTTGGAGAGATTTGAGTACTAGTACTAGTATGGTAGAAGGTTTTGTGGCCGTAGTCCAGTGTATAATTAATGAACGGAAATACAGTATGCAGTAGTGTGTCAATTCTAGAAAGATTCCTCGTTTTCATGTTGTCCAGTACTGTAAAATAGTTTGGTCCGGAGAATACCGTCTACCTAGAGTTCATTCACACTGTATATATAATTAGGCCGACGCATTGGCATTATATATAATGTAATGCCCTCGTCTTCATAAATTTTCCGAAGAAATATAGATTCAAATTTTTCTTTTTACATAGACGAACAGCAAAAAATGCAATTGAAGATGACTCGTCTAGGTTTAGCTAGAGAACGACGAGACGAGTTCATTGTTTGATTTCTATCAATGTCTGAGTCACATAATCTAATCTTCTCAAGGGCTCCCACAGCATCTCCATCATCAAAAGCATAGTCAACTAGCCTTTTTTCATCAGCAGTAAAGTAGGTACTATGTATAGAAAGAGCGGTTCTGGTTCCGAGCGTGACCACATCAAAGGTTTCATGCGGTGGAGTTCACAAAGACTGTTCTAATCTTTTTCGATGAATCTTTTCAACGTCCGTATGATATGGTAGAACGACATTGAGTTTGAGATTGACGGTGGTTAGGTGGAAAGACTTGAAATTAAGGCTCAGCTTTCGATGGTCATTGGGGTTGGTCACTGAGATCCCTCTTGAGAGAACAGGGGAAAATGAAGGAAAAGCAAAGGGAGAGGCATGGGACCCATTTCTTTCAGAGTCAGGGACCATTGAATGCTGAGCTTTAATGAAAGTAGACCTATTCCATCAGAGTCTTGTAGGTGGAACTACAGGGACCATCATTTAGCCTTGTGAGTGGTCCCTGTAGTTCTACCTACAAGAAGATAGGATCACGCATTTTTTAGCGCTTTTCGTGCTGGAGACGCGAGTCGAAGCGTCCGAGTCGAAGCGTCCTGGGCGACCATTGCCATGAGCAAGTGCTGCAATGCTCTTGAGAAGCTAATATAGCTGAGAAGTAAATGGTCGAGAGGAAGAGAGACTTTTGAAAATGGACGCTCGCAAAAAAATAGACATCTTCTCTGGCTTCATCTCCTCCAACAACTCAGCGCTCGAGGATACAGGTCAAACTGTGAACGGCGAATCAAATTATATCCTATCCTAGCTCGAGGGACCCAACGAGCCTCACTATGAAGCGATCGCATGGTCTTGGTCGTTAGTCTCAAACACTACTAGACGTAGATTATCAAATAGCTTAAACCCTTTCCCACCCTCAAATAAAGCAAATAAGCTTCCACATCGCCAAGAAGCACCAAAATGACGGGTAACAGCGACGATCCGATGATTGAGGGTATGTGGGAGGGCAAGGGCATTGACCGCATCCTACAAAAATCTACCCTCGAAAAAATCGTGCAGCAATTGACAGCACAGGGCAAGTTATGATAGATGATGAAGATATTGAGATGAAGATGATTTCGTCTCGCTAATTACTTTTAATTGTGTTGTGATATTAGATTTTTTCCCTAAACCCTAAATCCTACCAAGGCATGACTTAGACTTCCAACGGCAGCTGCCCCCTCGTCCTTTGTCAAACTCAATAATTGATTCAGTAGATCATTCTAGGTTGATCATATTGAAAGCTGTCTACCAAGAACTCTCTCTACACTCTGTCCTCTCCAACTAGAGCCATCTCTTCCTAATCTGCGAACTGAACGGCTTAGTCGGCAAAAAGGCTCGTGAGGTTGTCGACGTCCAAGAGCGGCTGTCCAGTGTCACTCTAGACCTGTCGCAAAGGCAATTACACCTTCAATTACGGCTTACCCTATTTAATTGAGGGGCAACATCTTGCGGGGCAACATCTTTGGCGTGCTTTCAAGGGGCTAGCGGAAAGCGCTACCGCTAGCACTACTACTACTACTACTATTACTACTACAGAGATCAGCACTCTTTGATAAATTGAAAATGATGATATTGGGTAACTCCCCGGGCCCGGGTGCCCCGGGAGACGTTAAGGAAGGGAAAAGGATACTTTAGGGACGTGGGTGGGGGTGAATGGTTTCACAAGGTGAAACGGGCGCCCGAGGGGCGCGCACTCCCCTCCGCGTCGCGGGAAAGGGGAGCGGGGGCGCGGTGATTTTATACACAAGAGGAAGGCGGCAGCACTGGCACCGGTGTCCGCGGTTTTTTTCTTCTCTTCCGTCTCTTTGTCCCGTTCGTGGCCTTGTGTCCGGACTCTAGCGAACAACAAGAACAAAGCAAAACGGAGGCCCGCGAGGGTCGTCCGCAAATTATAGCGAAAAAAAGGGGGCCCCGTTCCCAAAGTAAGAAAGAACAAGCAAACAAGAAGCGCCGGCGGGCAGCGAAACACGCACCACCACGGGCACCACCGTCAACGCGTTGGCCATAGCTGGCGCGGGTGTTCGTGGCTTTTTTCTTCTTTTCTCCCTCTTTGTCCCGTTCGTGGCCTTGGGTCCGGACCATAGCGAACAACAAGAACAAAGGAAACAGAGCGGAGGCCCGCGAGGGTCGTCGGCAACTTATAGCGAAAAAGGGGGGGGCGTGTTCCCAAGTTGGTGACAAGAGTAAGCAACCAGGAGGCGCCGGCGGGCAGTTAAACACGCACCACCACGGGCACCATTTTCAACGCGTTGGCCATAGCTGGCGCGGGTGTCCGCGGGTTTTTTCTTCTCTTCTGTCTCTCTGTCCCGTTCGTGGCTTTGTGTCCGAACTTTGGCGAACAACAAGAACAAAGGAACGCGGAGGCCCGCGAGGGTCG